ATGACCTCAACTGGTCGATGGATTATGGAAAGTCACTAGATCACATTGCATTACAGGTTGTCCTCAGTGTGTTCCATGTATAAAGATGTGATGAGCCGCATGTGGAAATTGTTCACTATGGATTCCCATGGAAGCACAAGTAAGCTGGCAAGTGTCTGGCAGCTCTCTTGGTGGACTGGCTTACATGTTGGGCTGGCCACCACAAGGTCAGGGGTTCAAATCCACCAACTGCTCTGCAGGAGGAAGATGAGGCTTTCTGTTCTCCAAAAGAATGACACTCTGGGAAACCCACAGGGGCAGTTCTGCTTGGTCTCACAGGGCCGTTGAGAGTCAAAAGGGACTCCAAGCATGGCAGTGCATTTTATTAGATATTCTCCTTCTGCTTCAGACTGGGAGAAACCCCTGGTCTACTTAAAAAGGGCCATAAGAAGGGTAGACAATACCACGGAGGCAAAACTTCCATGTAGCTGAATCTGTTCCTTGGCACCCTGCTCAAATGTAAGCTCATTTCCCTCCAAGGTGTCTAGTCTGGATGCGCCCCCTCAAGAGAAGCTCTCTCCAATATCACAGTGACATGTCTCCTGGATTCCTTCCTCTTACCCAGTTGGTAAGGACCCAGGGCTGTTGTGGCAGTTACATCATCTGGTGTCAACTTGTGAAGGGGTGGAGCCTAGCCTGTCCATCAGGCCGCAGCTTGATGACCTCAGTTGGAGGTGCCACAGAGATAAATAGCTCACTGGAGGCCATACATACAGACTCTCTGCTTCGTCTTCCTGCTTACAAGACACATGGAGCTACGCTAGAGCCCTGGAGCTGAAAAGCTGATACTCCTGGCAGCATTGAGATGCTTCCTCCACCACTGGATCCACAAGACTTTCCACCCACTGGCCTGTGATCTTCCTGCATTCGACATCATTGCATGTGTTTCGTGAGTCTGAAGAGGAATTTATTGATTGGTATCAGACCTATGGGCTAATATGGGACTTATGGGCTTGGACTGGACTGGGTTGGAATGCTTTCTTAATGTACAATTGCTCTTTGATATAAAGCTCTTTCTTACACACATAGGAGTGTTACTGGATTTGTTCTCTAGTCAACCCAGCCTAACACAGCTGTCAAAGGAGACTGCTCTCCAGGGACATCATATCTCAATGTATCTGCCCACCCCATCAATTTTCTCCCCCTCTCCCATTTTCAGTGTCCTGGTCCCACCAGGGCTATCTGCCAGTGCTTCACAATTGGTCCCTGAGACACTGTGACAGTTTTTATACCAACTTGGATGGACATGGGCCAGGAGTCTCCCATGAGAAGATCTAACATAGTGTGGTCAACTCTGTGATGGGGTTTTCTCCTTAATCTGGTTACAGCTTTGATAGGATTGAGGGAGGTTCTAGTCAGAGTGTAGCCTCCTCTTAGCGTGGACTCACGGTGTGTGGACATAGCTCCCTGCTACTGCTGGATCTGGGCCCTGCACCTGGTTTGTGGATCTCTTGTTACATCACTTGCGGCTCCCAGGAGCCATCAGTGTTTGAGGACCTTGGACTCATTTGGCTGATCTCGGATTCATTCAGTAGAGCATCCATCAGGCTGTGATCGTACTGCTTCCTGTTCACTAGTCCCTGAAGCTACAAGAGTCAGGAGAAACCTCCAGTTTATATCTGACCCACCGACTTGAACCAGACTGGCTTTACCCACTTCAACAACTGTGTGAGCCTTTTCCTGATCGAAATCTGTCTCAATAGACATACACACGCCAAGTGTCCCTGGTTTTGTTTTTCTAGAGGACCCAGCCGAGCAGATGCATTGAGTTATACATTGGGAGAAAGCAGAGTAGTCATGGTCAAGTCAGGGCCAGGATGGTCTGAGTTGGGGCTTCAGTTTGCAAACACGTTGTGTGACTGGGCAACTCATTCTTTTCCTTTATAAAATGAGGGCATCAACTCCCATTTCAGAGTGCCGGTGGAAAGCTTACACGCGATGATACCGACACAGCACAGGCCTGGTTGACAGTAAGCGATGGAGGCATGAAAAGTGCCTATTGATGTTTTAGGCTGGAGGGAAGAGTTTAGACAGACCGTCGGATGGTTTGTCCCAGATCTGATCATACCTCCTTCTTGGTACAATTACTCGCCTTCCAGAATCAACGCCATTCCCAGCTAGGGGAGCCTTTTGGAGAACTAGCAAGAGCTGAGGCTGAACAGCAGTGGCTGTGGACTCCGAGCACTCTCCACCATTGTTAACGTGTTGGGCAATTGGGGACAACTCTTTGCCCCTCGGGAGCCATGAGTTTCTTGTTCTTTAGCAGGAATATCTGTGCTGAGATGGGCTATTCAGATGCCTGTGGTGCTGCGAGGCTTCAGTGGGAAACGACGCCATCCAATCCTATCTGCCATGCGAGAGCCCTCTTTGGAGTGAATTCTTTTGCCTGGACCGAGCATCGGGGCTGCCACCTGCTTTGCCTAAGACCTTTGTTCTGCAGCTTTCTCTTGGCGCCTCAACACGTCCCCTCACAGAGTGGTAGCTGAGGAGGAGCTTCTGGTGCTGCCATTCAGGATCTGGACTCCCGCCACCGTCTATCTGTCAAATATGTCATACTTGGTGGCTCTTGTGTCGCTACGACGCCGGAAGCCACACCACCGGTGTTTCACATGCCAGCCGACGAAGAAGAAAGACCAGACCATCTGCTTCGGAGAATCGGCCAATGAAAACCTTAAGGATCACAGCCGAGCACCAATTTGTGGACACATCTTCGGGAGGGTGAGCATCCTGCTTGGTGGTGCGGTGGGCCAGCATGGGTGAGGGGGCCCCTAGGTGAGACAGGTTGGCATAATGGCAACAGGAAGGGCACGAACATGCTGCCAGTGTGAGGGAGACACAGGGACAGGGTAACATTTTGTTCTGTTTTATGGAAGGTCGCAGGGGTCCAAGTCAGCTATAGCAGGGAGCAAAGCAGGGAGCAAGAAATGACTGGGCTTTGGGCTAGTTGCTTCCCCTCTCAGAGCCAGTGATCTCATCCCCAGAAGGGGGCGAGGCAGAAGGTCGATCCAGAGATGAAGAGACTAACCACTTAGAAAATATAATGACCCCAAGGGGGCCGTTCAATGGTCGCCCAAGAAGTCCAGCAGTTGCGTTTCTCACGTAACAAACATTCCAGAATGTCTTTCCTTCTGGGTGGTAAATACCCTGTCCTTCAAATGCCCTTGAGCCTGCCTCACTAATCATCCTCTCATCGATCGAGGAGCTGAATAAGATCTCCAGCATCCATTTCAATCCGTATTTGTACACAGGTCAGGTTTTTAACTTTGAGAACATGGTTCTTTGACAAATTCTAACTCTGCTTTAAGACGCATACCTCAATAGATTGCCAGTGGCAAAGCTAGCCCTGCTCAATATGCTGATTAAACTGCTGGGAAAACACACACACACACACACACACACACACACACACACACAC